GTAATTATAGGAGTTTTTTTACCGTTGTGTATGGATACCGCCACAATTTTTTCACCGTCTTATAGGAATTGTAACTATAGGAAACAGTTTTATAGGGGGATCTACTGTAATAATTTTTTATTTTACCTTTTTAATAAAGTTAAAATATAGAATTTAAAAATATTGCAATAATAAAATATCCTTATAAAATTTTCATGTTATCAATACAGCTTTCAAACATGTCAATTTACCAGATTGTCTCTTCCACTTCAATGACATTATTTTTTGATTCTCAAAAATTTAATAAGTCACAACATTCTTTAAGTTGCCATATATTAGAGATGTAGTCACAAAGTCTACTTTATAGTACAGTAGAGCATCAATTATCCGACCCCCCCGATTAACCGTCACATCGGTTAACCAACTGTTCTAGTCAGCAAATTTCAAATGTCCGCTAGTGATGTGGCACTACAATATTTGGCTATGTCTTGGCTACTTTAATATTAATTTTGTTAAATTTTTGTGTGTTTTAGCTGGCAACATCGGCTCGACCATTGAAGGGAGGCCAGTATTTAAACAAGACTTAATTTTCTAATTATGAGTGGTGGTTTGTTTTGTGAGCAATAAAATAATTTAAAAATAATTTATAACGATAGAATAGTGACGACTATTATTTTAAAAAAAATTGATAGGCTTAACATCGATGAAAATTCAACGCTAAGTTGGTTAATAGCGATATATTAATACACTATACTAATAATGTATTTCATTCTTTTCAGTTATCCGATTTTTTCAGTTATCCGACCAACCTGAGTCCCCAATTGAGTCGGATAATCGATGCTCTACTGTATTATAATAAATCTTGTCTTTACTAAAATATTGACTAACTAAATAAGTTGATATATAGTACAAGATGGTAAGTGAATATTTGACTCAAAAGCTGTTTATGCATTATCAAATTTAGAATTTGATTGAAAGAAACTAAATTTGAAAGAATTGAAATTGAAATATGTTATAGAACATCATATGAAAAGATTTTATACATTATAATTTATCATTTTTTATACAGAAACTTTTATTGTTGGCCCATTTCTTTCAAACTTCTTTTGGCCCTTCTTTTAGCATAACTAGTAGCATTAATTGTGACATAAATTTTGTTTCACATTTGAATTTCAGAGTTTACTATTTTTTTGAGATAGTTTTTTTTATTCTATTTGTATGCTTGAAGCATTTCAATTCTGAAAATATAAAATTTGATTGTCTTTTTTTCCCCGACATTATGGGTACACGGGAAATGAAGAAATTCAAAAATGAAATTGATAATAAGTCATTAAAAAGTAATCATTAGTGATATTATCAGATATTACTTATTATCAAATTTTTTGTTTTGTCATAAATGTTCCAATGTGATTTAATACAGTCGACCCCCCTATAAGATATAGATACGTTCCAATTTATTAGGAATCCGATTTCTTACAAGTCGTTCCAATCACAGCCCGACACGTGTCAAGTTTACGGACTACGGCTGATTGAAAGGTTTTCTTCCATAAAATTAATCGATTCTACACTAATCCGACTCAACATTTCCAAAATACATATATTTTTTCGTAGTTTTATAGGAATCGTAATTATAGGGACCGTAATTATAGGGGGGTCGACTGTAAACAGTGTTGTAATTTCACCAAGTGCAAATCAGCAAATTCGTAAAATTTTTATTTTGAACAATCCGGATAATCGAGGTTCTACTGTATTTAATTAAACACTTTTGCTTGTTACTTTTAAGCTTCTTCAGAATATACATAAAGAACAATGGAAATTAAATTGCATAGAACAGTTTTTTAAATTTCAAATCTAAAAAGTATATTTCATATCCTGGAATGCATTCCAGGATGTAAAGCCAATAAGGTCAGCAGGTTTACATGGTTATTTACTTTTATGTTTTTTCTAAATCTTTCTAAAATTCATTTAATTTTTAAAAAATAATTGTGATTTATTAAAACATAAATTTCAAAATAAACATAGTTCCTTATAGTATTTTTACATAGAATTACATAATTCTATGGATGAAATCAATGAATTTTCAAAAATATTACAAAAATTATTATTAAGACTTCTAGAAGAGAGTTGGGTTTATAATGCTTAGAGATGGAGAAATAAAATAAAATTTAAATTATTAAAAGATGTGCAATTTTATATTTGTTTAGTTTTAATTTTATAATAAATTAAATAATTTAAAACATTATAGTAATCTGTAAAGAGTAGCTGTATTTTTAATTGCAATTTTTTTTTTAATGTTGCAAAGAATTATTTACAAATTTAGTTTTAATATTAATATTCTGAAAATTTTATTTAAGTAAAATTATTAAATCAGTAAATATTAGATTTTTAGACATAATTTAATAAATTTGTTTCATTTGTACATAAATTTACAATTTACTCAAATTAAGTCCAAGCGATATCATTCAATTTACTTAAATATTAAAGACGAAATCATATGTACCTAAACCTCTCCAAAATCACAAATTCAACAAATAGAATAGTAGTAATTGAAAATAAATAATGCAAAATTTAAAAGGGTATCAAAATTCATGACATTTTCTCAATTTATATTACCTGAACAACTCAACATATATTCTGTTTGAATATATAATAATTGAGGATATTGATTTATTTACTCTGAGAAAAAATCTGATATCTTTCAAAACTGTCATGTATTGATAAATGATGCTGAAATTTTATTTTGTAGATTATTTGATTTAGATGAGCAAATTGCTGCACTTCCAAAATGCAATATGGAATCTTTTACTAAAAAAATGAAACAGCAAGTGTCTGGAGACAATTTTGCCTTTCATGATGATCGTTTTCATAGTGATACTGATCCTGCTAAAGATCCTGATTTTAAACCAAGTGCTGCTATTGCTAGACGTTTACGGCACCAAGGAAAAAATACAGATTCAACTTCGGGAACTTCAAAACACAATAATTCTTCAAGCAAAAGATTTAAATCTGGGTAAGAAATCTAAGATGATTTTAAAATGTACCATTATTAATTTCTTCAAAACGTTTTTCGAAGTTTATTGTTTCTATCTGTCTAGTTTGCTTTATACAATTATAAAAATTACAATTAAAATAAAATACCAGTTATTTAACCAGTTATTCATTTCTCATCAAAATTCAGATTCAAAGTGATCACAATTAAAGAGTTCATATTCAGAACTCTCTGTAGAAAGAACTATTGGGCAAATCTCAACCTAATTTAGTATACATACTGTTCTGTGCATGCAGATTTGATTTCTGGGAAAAAATTTTACTTTAAGATTCAGTAGCTAGAGCAAAATTTGGTGCTATCACGTAATGTGTATATTACATAAGTTTTATAACTAATTTTTGGTATAAAAACAATCACTATTCTTTGACAGGTGAACAGTCATGCTGCTGTCTTAGCCAGATAGAAGAATTGAACAAGTAATGCATGTTAATGAAATGGCAATGCCAGCTTGGCACTTAAGGAATTTTGATCTTCTTCTGATTAGGAATCTTAGGAAACTGATTTTGCATTTTGAGGAAACTAGAACTTTGCTGTGAAACCAGGAGAGGGTCACAAACTAATTGGATCTCTGAAAAGTGAAACATTGCTACTGCAGTAGTAGAGCTCAGAATGATAATTTATCATGGCAGCTAATAGTACATATGTAATATCTTGGCAATTAGACATTTCCTACACATCAGTGTGGAAGGTTTAGTACGAAAGGTTCCAATCCATATGAGATATTCTACAATCAGGAATAGCTTTCTTGTAATAATGATAAGTGAAAAACATTTTCCACGACATTGTAGTTTGGATGATAATTGATAATGGATGGACTTGACAAATTCTGTGGAGTGATGAGGCTTATTTTCATTATATGGTAATGTGAACACATAACTGTTATGTTTGGTCTGACAAAAATTCACATGTTCACCAACAAATTCCATTTCACTAATCAAAGGTAACAGTGTGATATGGTTTCACAGTACATTTTGTCATTGGTGTTTATTACTGCACATGGGCCAGTGACATTTTCTGTTAATACCACTAAGTATGGCAATATGCTCCAAAACTGTCATTGCAGCAGGAAATTGTCTGAACACAATCCTTAAATGTGCAAACCTTACTGCAATGTTTTTGCATGGAAGAATAATTAACTGATCATTTCCAACATTATAGTCATTAAATCTAAAGTGCTTCATTTTTCAAGGCAATGTTTCCAACCTAGCTGTCTTAAAAGGCAAAATTTCACAGGTGCAACAACTGTATGCAGGTCAGTTTCATTCCATCATCAAGTGTGTTGTGCAGCAAATGCAGTTTTTAGAGCATGGAGATGTAGATACATGTCTTTGATATAATTGCCAGTTTCACATTCCACATCTGTAATCATATTTAATAATTTTGTTTCTTAACTCCTGAAATTTGTTAGAAAATATATATAATTTGCATATTAAGGAGAACAGCAGTGCCAAATTTTAGCCAAGCAGCTGAATTTTGAAGTAAAATTGTCTCAAAAATTGAAACCCCACATACAGAAAAATTTGTACCAAATTTGGTTGAGATTTACCCAATAGTTCTTTCTACAGAGAGTTCTGAATACCTGCTCTTTAATTATGATCCTGTATGTGTGTGTGTGAAGTTGTATTATGTATATATCCACTTTTTTTATACAACTATAGATGATTAAATTAATATTATTAATATGTTGTTTTGTATGATATTGTCATGCTACAAATTAGTAAAAAATTTAATTTCTTCATTTATAAGTATATTAGTAACTTTTTTGAAATATAAAATACTTAATTTGAAAAAATAATTCAGAGTTATAGTTTTTGATGCCAAAATGACAGGTAATTAAAATAGTAAGTTTTACTTGCTTTGTGTAGTTTAAAGTCTCTGATGAAAGCAAATTCCAAAAACATTTATGTAGTTTGAAAAAATCTTTATCTTTATCATTTATTATGGACATATTCCATGATAGCATTCAACTGGATAAGTAATGACTACTTCAACGAATAGACAGCATTTGTGTCAAATACAATATAAGGAATACAACTAATGATTTTATCTGATTAATGGAATTACAATATGCCTGCTAATCTTGCCATTCCTTGTACAGATCAATGTTGGATTAGTGAGAGTGCTGGATTACTGAGAGATAAAAGATGTTAGTTTAATTCTTTATTAACTTTAATGTTATATGTTTACTGTCTGTAGTGCACATGTATTTAAAAATAAATAAGAGTCTAATATTTGTATACAGTAAAACAAATTTAAAATGTAATACATCACAATTGAAATATTGCATCTTCTATTCAGTGTAGTCACTTCAAGAAATGTCAGATTTTTATTTGCTTTAATGGAGATATCATTGATAGCATGCTTTATCACACAATCATTGTATGAGCATTATATCAGTACTTCATGTGTCTGGTTGTTGCATTATGTACTGCAAGAAAATGTCGCACCAGCTTCAGCACCAGCAGTGTGAGAAATCTTTGTTCTCTCTGCCTTTATGGTGTCCTCTTTCTTATCACTTTCATCTTGCACACTTTTGATAATTTCTTCATCTGTTAAAGAATGGTCTGTCATAATATTCCTCATTCAATCAATTAGTAATGTCCTCTTCATCAACTTCTTCTCCTGGAAGCTTATGGAATATATCAATGATCACAGCATCTGGAAATGATTCTGAATTGACTGACTCATTATCACTAGATACAGACTCCAACTTAGTGTCAATCGAAGGCAATGCTTTTTTTTCAACATTTCAGTATTGTAGTACTCTCTGCAATGTCCCTTGCTTTTGTTGTTTGGAAAACATCATGCATGTTGATCGCCTTCTATGCTTTCAGCATAGCTTCTTAGATTTACATCACAGTATACTATCCCAACAAACAAGATTCAGTAGATTTTTTAAGTGAGAAAAGTGTCTGCTTGGATATTAAAATAAAAGTCATAATTTTTTGTTTTGACTAAGTTAGATGGTAAAATTGTCAGAGGAATGGCAATTAAACTTACAGTATCAATAAATAAATGATAAAGTTAATTTTGTAGAAACTAAGAAAAGAAAACAAGCATAAGTAATAGTGACAGTTCTATATGAGAAATCAATTTTAAGCTGAAAATGTTACAAATGCTATTAGTGAATTATACATACTATAGTCTACTTGACTTACAAAAAAGTATAAAAAAAAAAATAGACAAGTGAAAGAGGGAAACAAATTTCAAAGCAGAATCTGTAAAGATTTATCAAAATAATAATATACAGAATGCTTACTTTATGGAGAGAATTTTTATATTAATGAACAATGTGAGATCCGAAAGGCCCTGGGTCTAATTTATGAATTTTTATTGATAATATTAAATTATCGACACAAAATATTACTTCATTTTTGTGAAAAACTAGTGTTTTAGACGTGGGAAAAACCCAGATAACAGATGCTACTTCCTTTCACAGAAGAGAACATCCTCTGACTTTTTCTTATCTGGTTAAAAATCTCGCTCAGATGGGAAATGGTTACCCCTCATTCATCCCCCTTTCGTCCGTTCTCATGAAAGAGTTACTGGCCGATGATTGGTCGAAATTCAGGAGATATAAGGGAAATTAGTCCGAATTCGAGGAGTTCTTCGACAGATCCAAAGCGTCAAAACTCCACACAGTTCTCCTCCTGATGACCAATGCCCATAAACGAGTCTCATAGACTAAGTCTTGAGTCTGAACTTAGTAAAGATACTTTTATATTTGTGCACATATCGTTCTCCCATGTTAAGAAGTAAATGAACTTTTTCTACAAGGAATCCTCTGCCACTACAAATGAAGACGAACGATGACAACTAAACAGGTCGTATGTTTTAGAATGAGTTTGTGAGCTCTCTCTCTCGATCGCGCATTAGCCTAGAATAAGTCTTAGCCCATAGCTTGTCGCTTAATTGTCGTTCATCGATTATTTGTATTCGTTTTGTTTTAAAATTATTAAATTTACTTTTGTTAAATATACTTAAATGTCTCTTGAATTGATTCCGAATCAGATCGCAAACGCGTGTTTGTCCGCAGAACTTAATTGACAAACTGGTGTCGGGAACCTGACGAGCATCTGAACTTCGCCGTTCAGATCAATTTTGATACAGCGCCTTCCTATGAAATATTTGAGATCAGATCTAGTGATCTGCATCCTAGAGAACTAGTCTCACCGACTAGTGCCCGTAAGTGGCGTAGATTGAGACCTACGTCCTTGGCTACTCTCACAACAACTGTGATCTACTAAATGAGTCTTTAAATCATTTTTACAGTACAATTTAATTTTAAATGAAACAGAACAGTCAAGAATAGGATGATGATGATTCATTATAATAATCTAATTACATTTAAAGAAGGGATCAACAGCTTTACAAGATAAACAAGATCAAAACACATTAAATGCTTATGTATTTCACTGAATGTTTCTGGACTTTCCAGTCTAATATTAGCTGATTTTTTTTCATTATTTTATTATTTTGAATTTATATAGAAATAGGTTACTTTAAAACAATTAGAAAATGATATTTGTAAAATAAATGTTATATTTTAAAATTTTACATAATTTATTTAAAGGGACTTTGATCTTGAAGAACACATTGCTGCACTGCCTAAATGTGATATAGAAATATTAAACAGACCTCGAAGAATGAAAAGACGCAATTCATCATCTAATAACCGACAAGGTATTGTTAAATAATTTTTAAAATGAATTATTTATAATTATTTGAATAAAATTGATTTAACATACATAAAAATAATAATGATGATGAACTTTTGCTATAAATTTCCAAAATTTTCATTGTAATATTGAGTTTAAAGTTTAAGTTCAATTTTATAAATATTGAATATAAATAACAACTTCTTAAAATGACTTTCAGATAAAATTAAATTTCTTTTAGAAATGTCTTTTTGTGTATAATACTAAAATTATTCTGTTTCATATCAAACAATGTATTTTTGTAGATTTTTAAATTTTATTAAATATTAGCTAAGAAAATAAACCAATAAGGAAAACTTATTTTATTCATTTGTTTTAAGATTTTGTGTAAGATTAATTAAGATTGATATTATTTATGAAATACTAAATCAGCGGTTCCCAATTAGTTTTTCCTGTGTACCACTTCAAAAAAAAGCTCAAACTCGCGTACCCCTTATAGCAGAAATTCATATTAATCCATACTAATATTATAAATTCGAAGGTAATTCTGTCTGATGTCTGTTACCTTTTCACATCTAAACCACTGAACAGGTTTTAATAAAATTTGGCACAGAGATAGCTTACATGTTGGAGATGGACATAGGCTACATTTTACTGCGAGAAAATTCGATATAATGCAGGCAAAGCTCTGGGTAGACAGCTAGTGATAAAGATAATAAGTTTTTTTTTTACATTTATTACCTTTAAAATACAATTCTAATAAAAATGAAAATAACATATGGTTATTTTATTTTATTTTAATGTGACAAATGTGCATGATTTTCTTTGCACAACTTTGTAAAATCTGGTTGCTTTTTGGTCAGCTTCAGTCTCAAGTCATCTTCAAGTTCAAGTTGGTGACGATGTTTACTTTTCATATTTGTCATGGCCGAAAATCTGATCTTGCAGAAGTATGTTATGCAAAATGGTAGTAAATATTTTATTGCCGCTTCACTGACATGATAAATGTTTTTTAGGTCAGTCCAAAAATTACCCAGTGATTTCTCTGCAAAACAACACTTGAGTCTGCTGCTGCATGAAATGCCTATTAATTAATTCCTCTTGGTCAGAGATGGGAAGGTGGTTGGTGAAGTTATTCGCAAAAGGATTATTTACCCAGTTCCATTCTGGCGATATTTCTGGGAAATAACTGCATAACTCTGCCGACAAATTTTGCAAGTGGCATTTTATGACTGATTTTACATCTTCATTTAATGACAAAGAAATTGTTTCCAAAAAAAGTTTCAGATTCAGAAACTGGTCATATTTACATTTGTCTATCAAAGATGTCCAGAGAGAGATTTTTTTGATAGTTGACTCAACTTTCTCCTGCATAGTGAATATGGTTATATCCTGGCCTTGAAGGCCCAAATTCAACTCATTCAACTTTGTGAAAATATCTGACAAGTAAGCTAATTTTTGCAGCCACAAAGGGTCAGTCAGCATCTGTTTTGTACTCATCATATTTATACTCGACCAAAAATAACTCAATTTCATGTCTCAACTCAAATATTCTCGAAACAACTCTTCCTCTGGACAGCCAGCACACTTCAGTATGTAACAACAGGTTCTCGTGCTCACTGTCAAGGTCTTTACAAATGGCTGCGAAAATTTTTGAGTTTGTGGAATGTGCCTTGATTAAGTTTACAATCTTTACAGCATTTTTAAGAGTGATGCTTTCTAAGCTGGTTGGACAAAGCGTCAAAACTCCACACAGTTCTCCTCCTGATGACCAATGCCCATAAACGAGTCTCATAGACTAAGTCTTGAGTCTGAACTTAGTAAAGATACTTTTATATTTGTGCACATATCGTTCTCCCATGTTAAGAAGTAAATGAACTTTTTCTACAAGGAATCCTCTGCCACTACAAATGAAGACGAACGATGACAACTAAACAGGTCGTATGTTTTAGAATGAGTTTGTGAGCTCTCTCTCTCGATCGCGCATTAGCCTAGAATAAGTCTTAGCCCATAGCTTGTCGCTTAATTGTCGTTCATCGATTATTTGTATTCGTTTTGTTTTAAAATTATTAAATTTACTTTTGTTAAATATACTTAAATGTCTCTTGAATTGATTCCGAATCAGATCGCAAACGCGTGTTTGTCCGCAGAACTTAATTGACAAACTGGTGTCGGGAACCTGACGAGCATCTGAACTTCGCCGTTCAGATCAATTTTGATACAGCGCCTTCCTATGAAATATTTGAGATCAGATCTAGTGATCTGCATCCTAGAGAACTAGTCTCACCGACTAGTGCCCGTAAGTGGCGTAGATTGAGACCTACGTCCTTGGCTACTCTCACAACAACTGTGATCTACTAAATGAGTCTTTAAATCATTTTTACAGTACAATTTAATTTTAAATGAAACAGAACAGTCAAGAATAGGATGATGATGATTCATTATAATAATCTAATTACATTTAAAGAAGGGATCAACAGCTTTACAAGATAAACAAGATCAAAACACATTAAATGCTTATGTATTTCACTGAATGTTTCTGGACTTTCCAGTCTAATATTAGCTGATTTTTTTTCATTATTTTATTATTTTGAATTTATATAGAAATAGGTTACTTTAAAACAATTAGAAAATGATATTTGTAAAATAAATGTTATATTTTAAAATTTTACATAATTTATTTAAAGGGACTTTGATCTTGAAGAACACATTGCTGCACTGCCTAAATGTGATATAGAAATATTAAACAGACCTCGAAGAATGAAAAGACGCAATTCATCATCTAATAACCGACAAGGTATTGTTAAATAATTTTTAAAATGAATTATTTATAATTATTTGAATAAAATTGATTTAACATACATAAAAATAATAATGATGATGAACTTTTGCTATAAATTTCCAAAATTTTCATTGTAATATTGAGTTTAAAGTTTAAGTTCAATTTTATAAATATTGAATATAAATAACAACTTCTTAAAATGACTTTCAGATAAAATTAAATTTCTTTTAGAAATGTCTTTTTGTGTATAATACTAAAATTATTCTGTTTCATATCAAACAATGTATTTTTGTAGATTTTTAAATTTTATTAAATATTAGCTAAGAAAATAAACCAATAAGGAAAACTTATTTTATTCATTTGTTTTAAGATTTTGTGTAAGATTAATTAAGATTGATATTATTTATGAAATACTAAATCAGCGGTTCCCAATTAGTTTTTCCTGTGTACCACTTCAAAAAAAAGCTCAAACTCGCGTACCCCTTATAGCAGAAATTCATATTAATCCATACTAATATTATAAATTCGAAGGTAATTCTGTCTGATGTCTGTTACCTTTTCACATCTAAACCACTGAACAGGTTTTAATAAAATTTGGCACAGAGATAGCTTACATGTTGGAGATGGACATAGGCTACATTTTACTGCGAGAAAATTCGATATAATGCAGGCAAAGCTCTGGGTAGACAGCTAGTGATAAAGATAATAAGTTTTTTTTTTACATTTATTACCTTTAAAATACAATTCTAATAAAAATGAAAATAACATATGGTTATTTTATTTTATTTTAATGTGACAAATGTGCATGATTTTCTTTGCACAACTTTGTAAAATCTGGTTGCTTTTTGGTCAGCTTCAGTCTCAAGTCATCTTCAAGTTCAAGTTGGTGACGATGTTTACTTTTCATATTTGTCATGGCCGAAAATCTGATCTTGCAGAAGTATGTTATGCAAAATGGTAGTAAATATTTTATTGCCGCTTCACTGACATGATAAATGTTTTTTAGGTCAGTCCAAAAATTACCCAGTGATTTCTCTGCAAAACAACACTTGAGTCTGCTGCTGCATGAAATGCCTATTAATTAATTCCTCTTGGTCAGAGATGGGAAGGTGGTTGGTGAAGTTATTCGCAAAAGGATTATTTACCCAGTTCCATTCTGGCGATATTTCTGGGAAATAACTGCATAACTCTGCCGACAAATTTTGCAAGTGGCATTTTATGACTGATTTTACATCTTCATTTAATGACAAAGAAATTGTTTCCAAAAAAAGTTTCAGATTCAGAAACTGGTCATATTTACATTTGTCTATCAAAGATGTCCAGAGAGAGATTTTTTTGATAGTTGACTCAACTTTCTCCTGCATAGTGAATATGGTTATATCCTGGCCTTGAAGGCCCAAATTCAACTCATTCAACTTTGTGAAAATATCTGACAAGTAAGCTAATTTTTGCAGCCACAAAGGGTCAGTCAGCATCTGTTTTGTACTCATCATATTTATACTCGACCAAAAATAACTCAATTTCATGTCTCAACTCAAATATTCTCGAAACAACTCTTCCTCTGGACAGCCAGCACACTTCAGTATGTAACAACAGGTTCTCGTGCTCACTGTCAAGGTCTTTACAAATGGCTGCGAAAATTCTTGAGTTTGTGGAATGGGCCTTGATTAAGTTGACAATCTTTACAGCATTTTTAAGAGTGATGCTTTCTAAGCTGGTTGGAAATTTTTACAAACAAGTGCCTCTTGATGAATTTCACAGTGGGTCCATTTTGCTTCTGGAGCTTTATCTTGTATCCGCTTCACAAGTCCTGAAAAATCACCAGTCATTGCTCTGGCACCATCAGTGCATATGCTGCACATTTTGACCAATCCATTTTGTTTTCATCTATAAAACCGTTGACAATGCAAAATATATCCTCCCCAGTGGTGTAAATCGGAAGGGCGCGACAAAACAGGAACTCTTCGTGAAACTTTCTGGAATGAATGTAATGAACGTATGCTAAAAGTTGAGCCAACTTTGATATGTCTGTGGACTCATCAAGTTGTATGGCAAAGAAATCGCTTTGTAAAATGCATTGAATTTGATTACTTTTCAGATTATCTGACATGTCTGCAATACAACGAGAGACAGTGTTATTTGACAGGGGAATAACATCAAGTTCTCGTGCCATTTTTCTCCGAACATACATTTCACTATCTCTTTTGCTGCAGGCAGTATAAGGTTCTCCCCAATAGTGTGTAGTTTTGCTTGCTTGGCAATTAAGTAACTAACTCTAAAAGAGGCTTGCAGAGTGTTGACATTCATGTTCAAGGAGAGTATCTCAATAGATTTTTGCTTTTGTTTGAGATCTTTTAATTTATGTTGAAAGAAGGGCACAGATTGATGTTTAAAATTAGCATGTTTGGTTTCCAAATGGCGACACAGTAAAGACGGTTTTAACGAATGATTTGACAGCGTTTCTCCACAAACGACACACTGTGGCAATGGGGAATCAGGGTCTCCAGACCATGTAAAACCAAACTGAATATAACTATCATCATAATCAAAACTTCTTCCAAAACTTCAGACTATGAGGCGTTAAATATAATTAAAAATATTTTAATCTTGCGAGTGCTTTCGACATAAATATGCACATCGTCTTCAGGCAATTCAAAATCAAAATATGCACATTGTCTTCAGGCAATTCAAAAGGACGCCACATAGTCTGAAGTTTTGGAAGAAGTTTTGATTGAGATAACTGTTGGCATGACATCCAACCCCAGTACTTAATACTCCTAACTATCATCATATTTCCTTTTTTTGAGAGACTGCTCCTTATTATCTAGGTTTCTTTTTTTTTGTGCCTGAGTACTGTTAGAGGGTGATACATCATTAGCAGGTGACTGTACAGTATTGCCTGACACCTCATCATCAGCCTTTCGGTGTACTAACAGCCATTGTTCCATCTGAAAGACAGAGGGACTAATTAACTCAGTTTATGTATTTTTGTAATAAAAAACTTTATGGCCCTGCCACACGATGCATTGTGACATCGCACCACAATGATTTTGCTGCATTAAACAGAAACAGCAAACATGTATAAAACTTAAAATTATTAGGACATTAAAGGAATTAGGACAATCCCACAATGCGATGGTTATAAATTCAAAATTAAGATCACATGGATTCTGTGAGATGCCCTGTGGTGAATTTTTTTGTGGCATTTTTTTCTGAAATTTTTCAAAAAATTTAAGTTCTCCAATTTCTTCGAGCTGAGAAAAATGCAATAAATAATGTTTTTATTACATGCTGAGTTTACTCAGAAAGAAAAGTCAAAAAGTGCCAGCGTCTCATAGAATCCAACGCGACCTTTCGAGTAGGAAAAATTCGGAGAAAAAAACACGCTTGCGATAATCGCTATCGTCGATCGCGAGCATCTTTTTCGCTATCAATTCTTTTCTCCAAATAATTTTCTTTTATTTCAAGAAAAAGATGAATTCTAGCCCGATTTAGAAGCAACATGTCGCAACTGATTATTAAACTTAGTGAAGTATCAATATACTCTGTGAGAAGTCGCATTGTCGCGCAAGAAAAATAACAGCAACAAAAATTTTCAAAATTAATTTCACGAGCACAAATTGTGATAATTGTACAATTTTTGTTTCTTGCATAAGAATTTCATTTAGGTATTGTCACAAATGCATTTTTTTAATGAAATTTCAAGAATAGTTCTAGTTATAAATAAACAAATTTGTGCATTCGACATCATGTTGTAAATTATCGAATTTTTGATGGTTCACCCATTATTTTTTTGATTGCTTCATCTCATGTTTTTAAATTTACTGATTTTAGATTGCTGCACGTACCCCTTCATGCAATTTCGCGTACCCCTGTGGTACGCGTACCACTAATTGGGAACCACTGTACTAAATGAATCAATGTATGTGTATTTTCAAATGAACTTATTACTAGATAAACACTAATTAGTAATTGAAGATCAAGATTAATTCATTAATGATTTTTTATATTAATATTATTCAAATAAAAGTTTTAAAATTGTTGTTTGAATGTCTTTATTTTTTGACAAGTCATAATATATTTTTAACTCCAAGCTGTGAAGATTTCTTCTTTTTATGTACCTGGAGACAAAATTGTTTTTACTCAATATGTAATTGGTTCAAACACCATTATTATCTAGGAATTATTACATCCACAGACTCCAAAAATATTAGTCAATCAACAACTTTATTTCACCCAGATGCATTTCAGAAATTACAATATTTCCCTCCTTGGTGGATTTTTTTTCATACAAGCCAAACAAGGAAAAGACACTTCTTCAATACTCTAGTAAATATACAACAATAACATTAAAGTTAAAATTTACAATTATACATTTAAAATATTTACTTCTCACTATTTTTCCATCATTTTGACTACTTTCATATTAAAAACAATTTTTTCTATTTTTAAAAAAAAAAGAAAAAAACGATTCTTTAAATTAAAAAAAATTAACTTATATCTCCAATTATTGTAATACCTGTGTTCTTTTCATTAACCATGCTTCATTATTTACAGTTCTTGCTATCATAACCTTCATTTGTTGCTTTCCTCCTCATTTACCAACACTTCCACTGCAAATGGAATGCCTCCCCTCCTGCCTCCTATTGGTCAAAAAACAATTCCATGACTCGTGTAAACTCACACTCCATCATTTTTGTTCATTAACAATAAAAGATTTTCGTTTCTAACTATTTCTAAGTATATATATAACTTTCTCTTTATTGTATTTCTCTCTGATTGGACTATTCTTAAAGTATTAAGATTGTTCTGACATCCATTTCTCACATAATGTTTAGCAACACTTGAATATTTATAATCATATTGTTTTTACTCCTTAGGCTACAAGAGTAATTTTTATAGCAAAACCAATCAAACAACTTTCTCTTCAGCTGATTTTGGCAAATTCATGCTTAAAGAGTTAAAAAAAAATATTGAACAATTTGTAAAGTAGCTAATGAAAAAATTCTTTTCATTGTCTAAAATGGATTATGTAAAATTTCATTTCATTCATAACAATAGAAGTTAATATGGCCAAATTCCTAATATATATTAGCAATATGCTTCTTATTTTAAAAAAAAGTTACTTACACACACACACACACACACACACACACACACACACTGTGTGTGTATTAATAATAATAATAATAATACTATGAAGGTTCTGTGACATTTTTCCACTTTCTTTCCACCTTGTAGGCACTAAGAGTGCCTTTTTTTTTTTTTCCATATTCATCATTAGTATGGTTGGGACCACAATGGAATGGCCAACTGGTGAGAGACAGTACACAACATAACTGGAATAGACTACTACTGAAAATTTCCTGGGATTAATTGACTGGATTAGATCCTGTGTTCTTAGAGTGGTAGGATGGCACCTTAACTACTACAGCTATCTAGTCATTGATATTCTATAAGATTCAATAGTGTGTTTTGGCATTTGTCAAACTATATTTGACATTTATATAATTGATATATTCAATAAATCTCAAAAATTTTATTCAGTTTTTACTCCAAGAATGCATTTCATTGTATATAGTATAATAATATATCTTTGTAATAGTTTAATTAATATAATATCTTATCATTTTATTTAAATATTTGGTAGTAAAGTAATTAGATTAGTAATAATGATCTCTAAATAATGTCATTATTCAACTTTGTTTTTCTTCACACCAATTTTATAATTAAAATGATAAATTTAAAACATTTGGTTCATTGTTATTTGAATAAACTATTGATTTTAACTGAAAATTTGAATTATTATTATTGTTTTCAATTTTATACTAATTAGAATGTTTTTATTGCTAATTATGTTTTTTTTATTAAACCCCCTAAAACAATTTGGTTAAATTCAGAAAAAAGATTCATAAATTTATTCTGCATTGTTTTTTAATATTTTCATATTGATGGTTTAACTCATAACTGAATTAAATTACAATTATACAGTATTTAAAAAAGTAAATTTAATGTAAATTTAATTTTACAGATAAAGGCAGCTTTTATCCTCTTTCTTATTCACCTTCAAGTGAAGGAGAAAAAGTACAAAGTGATACTGAAGAATTAGTAGAAACAGATAATGAGGATAAAATAAACAATCAAACTCAGGTGGAAAACGATGATTCAACAGAATTACAAGAATCAGATAAACATTTCCAGCATCCTCAAAATTCATTAGTTGGGAGTCAGAAGAGAAAAGCCAGAAAAAGGTCAATAACTCATTTAAATATTGATCATTCAGGTAAATTTATTTACTAATATAAGAATTAATAAATGGAAATCTCTTTAAAATGAATTTACAGAAAAATTTATCATAAATAACAAATACTTATATAACAAACGAACTGGATAAATATACTAATAATAAATTTCAAAATTTTTAGTAAAAAGTTTACTTTAATAAAAACATGTTAGAAAATTTGTTTTTCTGTTTTTGTTTATTTTAGAATTTTTATTTAATGTGTTTAATATTTTTTTTATTTCTGGGATTTTTTGTTAGGAATTTGGAAAAATAATTAAGTAGTTTATAGAATGCATAAATTTTTTAAATATAAAATTAAATAAACTGTAATAAATTATCTGTACTGAGTGTTGATATTTGCTAAGTGGCTTAAAAAACTCTGGTCATTTTTTATTTAAAAACTTCAGGTTAATAAATGTACTGTACATTTGTCAGTGAAATAGGCATAATTTATTAATTGTTACATAGGGTGAGTATAACTAAACTGATGGTATTTGAAACATTGTGGAGAGTGATCTGGTGGATGGATTGTGGCAAGAATTGGTAAATGTTTTAATGAGATCATGTTGTGTATGATGTGCAAGTAAAAAAATAGTTAAATTTTGTACCACCAGATGATGCTGATACACATAAATAAAAAAAAATACAAGTTGAAGAGCAATAAATTTACAAATTCAGCAATAGATGCTGAAAGTGTAAAATGGCTTGGTCCAAAGTTGTTTTAAGCATATCTTGTGAGATAGCTGAAACATCCTGTCTAATCCTTTACAGTTTGGCAAGATTTGCCAACACTAAACACATTTCACATCCCATAACCAGAATCACAAGAGTTTAAATCTGGAGAATAGTGTGACCAAGCAGTTGGAATATTTTATGAAATCACTATTGTTCTCAAATGTGGAGCATAGCAATTGTGTCACTGTTCATGCAATATGAAGGGGTTCTCCATCTTGCATGAAAGTTATGATGTCTAAAAACAGTTTTTCTTTTGCAAAGCTGGGATAATATTGTTATGAAGAATTGTTATAGCATTCTCCATTCAGTGTCTAATACATGGGGCTTTGTAGTATTACTTTTTCAATGAAAAAGGATCTAATTATGAAGTTTGCAGTGAACCCACACCACACGGTAACATAATCTGAATGCAAGAAAACTTGCATGTTAATGTGTTTTACCTGTAGTCTTTTTTGGTGTAATGCTGCCACTTTTGGTCAAAAAAAATTTCAATTTTTTTTTTACCAATAAGTGGCAGCATATATATTCATGCATCTTCTTTCTCCATGATCTCATTATTTGGTGAATGGATTGCAAGTCCTGTTGCAATCCATTCATCAGATTACTCTCTATCACACTTAAAGTACTGTCAGTTTAATTAATTTACTCAGTATATTGATAAAAGTTCAAGGACAACTATACATACAATTAAAAATTCTGTGTAATAGGAGAAATACTCAAAAAATTAAAGGATGATCTTTGTAATCTGTCCTTTTTCACAGACCTCAGGAATAGAACAAAGTTGCATGATGGAGTTGACAGTTATTTTAAGGCTCTTCTCAGCCTCAATATGGTATATTTGGTAACATTGTCTTTGGTATTTTTACTAGTTTTTTGTCATTGAGTATATGTTTCCATTTATTTTTGAGTAGATGCAAAGATGATCCATATTTAAATCACAAGTACTAGTCAAATAAATTTCTGCTGGTTTACAAGGTTAGATTTTTTATTAACCAAATTAATGAGAGGTTAGTTTTAATTTGGAAAGCAGATTTGATATTCAAAACTTGAGAGGAACATAATTGAATTTGATTTTAGGATAATTTCTTTATAGGACTTGAGACTATGTTGTGAGATTTGTCCTCCTTATTTTTATTGATTTTAAAATGAAAATATATTAGGATTGAAATTTTATTAGTAAAAGTATTTTAATAAAATTTTACAATAATCAAGAATTCATTGAATTTAATAGTAAATTTTTTTCTGCATTATCGACATGTTATTTATAAATTTGAATGAAAAGAATAAAATAATTACATTGCAATATCAAATATGTTGTTTGTTTGCTAAAAAATTTCAAGCTATGTTCAATGTAAAATGATATAAAAAGATGTATAATTTTATAAATTTAATTTAATCTTAATTGTTTATATAATTTTTAACATTGATCTTTTTTTTCAGAATAAAAATACAGCATACCATTATTTAAATCCTCATTCTAACCTACATGGTTTGCCTATGCATTAAAGAAATTGAACTCTGGAAATTGGAAATAATGCAGAATTAAGAAGAAAGCAACCCATGTACTGCCAATCAAATAAATATTAATAAGGATAAATAGAATGGATTTTCATTGTGTTGTTTTATCATTGTTAAGTATGTCATTATTCTTTGATATATGTCAAAATTTGTTGGGTAGTTGTTTAGTTGTTTTTGTTAATTAAATGACTTCTATATACATACATTACATTTTTTCTTGCTTTATTTCTCATCCCAATATTTGTGCAGTTAATAAATTTATTTCTATTTTTAACAAACATAAATTGACAAAAATTGAAATAGCATTTTTTGTAATTTTTACAATAATAACTAGAGAGAGATTGGAAATTCTTGTTATAATTTATTTAATTTGATGTAATATTTTTATTTATCATTATTAATTATATAATATAATAATAAAACAAAAAATGCNTACTAGTTTTTTGTCATTGAGTATATGTTTCCATTTATTTTTGAGTAGATTTCAAAATTATAAAAATCTTAATAGGGTGAAACACAAAATATTGTGAAATTGTATTTTATTGGAAAATTGATAAAAATAAGTTTTCAAAATTCCTATTGATATATGAAAAGTTATTGTGCAGGAAAAAACTTTCTTAGAAATATTCTGTGAATGTCAATTTATTATATCATTATAATACTTTTAATATTTTTAAATTTGGATACAATGTCTGTTCTTCAAAATATTTTAAATAAAAAAAAATTTTTTTAATAAAATTTTTGACTTTAATATAAAATTGCTTGGATTGGTTTCTATCCTGTATTATTTAAATTATTTTAAATAAATAGGAACCTTATAAAGTGAAAACTCCTATTTCTTATTAGTTTTTAATGTCAAATCATAATAGCACAAGTAGTTTATGAAATTTATCTTGCACTTTGAACTTCTATACACAATGTATTAAAAGATGTCCAATTGATGGAATAGGTTTATCAAACATTTAATTTTTGCCATTATTAAAATACTAAAAATGTTCCTGTTGTTCATATAAATTGTAATTTTTTTCTATTATTATATCTTTATTTATTGGATCATTATTTTTTTTCACGTGTCTTTAGATGATTTTTTTTTGTTATAATAACAAGTTAAATGTTTAAAAATTTATAAGAACTTAACTTAATTATATTTTAATGAAATATTGCATTTTATTGCTTATATTAGATACTGTGCAAGTGTATTTCTTTAATTCCCTTATTGTGCAGATAAGATTTACCTTTGATTCAGAAATATTGCATGCAAAAAGTTTTCTTGTGAATTCCTTTTCTAATCATATCTCTGTCATTTGAAAATTGAGACAGTTTGTATAAAGGAACATTTTTAATCCTAAGAGATAATTTCTCTTTTGCCAAATTGGCTGTAGTTATTTTTATATATATATATATATGCAGAACCATCCATACAAGAAAGTATTCAAATCTAAGAAAATAATAAATGTTATTAATGTGAAATTTAGAAACAGATAATTCAATATACTTAATGATGGAATACACACGATGATGGGTATAACAAAGCCAAGATAAACTGTACAATCAGATTAGATTGAGCTTTGAAATGTTGATTGGCTTGTTAATAATCACAGATTTCATACTTATTATTAATAATTAAATATTTTTAATATATTTTTCATTTTTTAATTTGTTTGTTATTTGTCATAAATACAAAAAAAGAAACGAAAATGAATTATTAATTACAATAATTAACTGAAAATTTTCATTTGTTATTATCTAATCATATTAACTGCAGAAGTAAGTAAATGTAATTTATTTTACATATTACATATAATTCAAATATACTTCAAGTATGTAAATAAATTTTTCATTATGTAAAATTTTCTAAATGAGAAAACCAAGTAAATTTTTAAATTTTACTTAAGTTTTTCATTTATACAGTTCTTATATCAAAATTTATATTTAGTTTTATTATTATGTAATGTGTTAAATTTAAAAGTAACTTTACTTTATTTAATATAATTTTTTCATATATAAATTATGATAATTATAAATTGAAATATAAATATATTAAAGAAATATGCAATTTCATTTTAAGCATTTTTATTGTCAATTCTTAAAATTTTCTTGCATTTTAGTTGACAAAGTGTATGTATTTGTTTATTTCATAATTAATTTTTTAATTAAATATTTATAATTAGAGTATTTTATAAAACATATCTAAAGTATTTGCTTGAATAAATTAATTATTGACATTCATAAATAGCAATTTGAAAACATTTTGCTTCCATATTCAAATTAGTAATAATAATGCACTATTAAAATAAAAGTATGTTTAATGGTGCTGTTTCATTGATTTATTATATATATAAAGGATGTTCATTTGTCTTAATATTGGTATTATAATTTTCCAGAGACTTCAAAATTTTCATTTACATATACTAAAAAAATTAAGTAGAATATTTTGCTATTTTAATTTTTGTCCAATTAATAGTGTCTGTAATATTTTACTGTAATAACAATTATTTAATTAAAATATTAGAAATATTTAGTATAGTGGAAGTTGATGATAATTGAATTGTGAATCATCTGAAATTGAAAGTTGTAATTTTTCATTTAATGCACTTAGTTCTTTATTCTATTGTACTTGACTTTACTTCTGAAAAATGTGTTATCATAGATTTATATGTAAGTTTAAAAGCTTGGTATAGATATTATCAAGCATATTCAACTGTGCATTCATTAGGTATAAAATAGCAGAATAAAATGTTATAAATTTAGTTTTGCTCTAGAAAAAGAAATAGAATAGCTAATTTTGAAATGTTTTGTTTTCTGCTTTATCTTAGTTTTCTAGGATCAGTTATAACACTTAATAGCAATCTACTTTTTTAGTCTTCATTTGCAATAATATCTATTAAGCTACAAAGTATTAGAAGTCTGCTAGGATTTCTCTAAAGTTCTCATAAGTAAGTTGTAATTTTTTAGTTTATTAAAATGTTTATTGAGTCCAGTACGGACTCAATAAACATGTTAATAAACTATTCTAATAAATGTTCTAGAAAAATAAATTATTTTATCTTTATTTTCTATTAGAATAATCTTTAATTCTAAATTCGGCAATATAGATAATTTATTTAATATTAATTATTCTACATTATTCTGTAAATTTAAAATGAAGCTGAAATACTAGGTATACCAAGCAATTTTATTAGTATAATATAAAAATAAATTTAAATAATAGATTGTATTATTAAAATGCTATATTTTTCAATTACATTTTTTTGATAGTTTGATTAAATTAACTTAACATCCTGAATTGTTTGTAGTTAGTTTACTTGATTTCTCAGTTATAGTTTTGAAGTCAGGATAAAGACTTAAACAGAATATTTTGAGCATGTATTGTTAATTAATAAAATTATATTTAAAAATAATAAAAGTAAATCATTGATAAAAATGAAAGAATATATACCAAGCTTAAGTGAAACTTCTTTGTTTTTTCTCACTGAATATGTCAGTTTTTAGGTTTTTTTAGTGTTTACTTGTCTGAATTCAAGTCAATACTCTCAAACTCATTTTCTCTTTTGTATTAGAGTTAATGATGAAAATTTGTTTTCCGGAATTCTCCTTTTCTATCAATACGTCAATAGAATTGTCATTCGTATTTCTGCATGTTTTTATACTGTATAATAATTTCAGTAATATATTCTTTTTACCTGTTTATTTTTACATGTATACATATATATTGGAAAATCTTTTGAGTAACCTTCTCGTTGTTTTAAAACTAAATTGGACTTAATGTCACATATATCAATTGAAAAATTCATAATCCTTTTTTTAAAATTTTATTTGATTTATCATAAAAAATGTATAGTTGTAGAAATTGAACATATTTTAACAGAAGGAAAATATTTTTGTTAAACAATTTTTTTGAGATTATATTTTAGCACAGAATCAATATCATAGAATAATTTTAAGAATTATAGAGCAAATCTTTAAAAACATTCTAAAAATTTGGGCCATAACACAAAAATCATAATAAAACTTATAAAAATTTGAAAATTATTAAATACACAATAATAAACAATATAAATTACATTAAAAAATTATTTAATTATTTTAAAAGAAAGGGAAAATATACTTTTTCTTATAATGAATTTATCTCTTTAACCTATTTCATTTGTTAAACTTTTCACATGGAAGACAATTTTAGGATTTTAAATATCATTTTAATTGGGTGTGTAAGTGTTGTAACTCTTTTCATTGTTTATCAGGAGTTTTAATAAATTGTCATTAACTACCAATATTTATCTGAATATATTGAAGGTTTATATCTTTCCACAAAAAACAAGATTGACATTTTGTTTACCAACTAAATGATATACTAATGCATTCTTATCATTGTTTGCAGTGTCTTTGAAGCTTGTTTCTCTATTAACAGATTGAATTAAACAATTTTCATCAGTAGGTTTATGAGCCTTATTTAATGTATGTTGAGTTTTCTTGTTATAATATATTCAAAATATATTTTTTTTCCCTGTAGAACTAGACTAGTAATATAGTTCAGTTCTATATTACTAGTCTGCTTCTATTAGAACTGTAATGTAGAATTACTGACACTATCATATTATAATACATGTTGGTATATTTTATTGGGTATTATTGAAATGAAATATCATTCAGATATCAGTTATCACTGAAGTTTTGAAATATGCTAATTATTGTTAAAATAAAAGGCTATAATATATTGATTTGTAAAAATAAATGTTAATGTTTGTTATATTTGTTCATTGAATAAGTAATTGTTTGAGATTCTAAAATTCATTTTTCAGACATTTACATTGTGGTAAGTCTATTATCTCTAATGTTAATTATTTGATAATATCTCAATAATTAATTTGTAGCAGATTTTTTAATGTGGAAATTTGGTAATTGTTTTAAAGTTTTTGGTTGTTTCTTTACATCCCTTTTATGTTTGTTCTAGTGTTTATTCAAAGTCCTATTTGAATTTTCTTACATAATAATTGATCATTTTAATTTTTAGTTTTATAAAGTTATTGGGAAAATTTAATTAAATGTATGTTCCATATAATTTTTAAAAATAAGTTAATTAAAACTTACTGACAACTGTTAACATAATACAGTTCTGAAATTTATCACAGAAGTGATTTCTATAATTGCTTATTATTAATGTAAATTTTATATTATACTTTGATTTTAAAATTATATTAAATAATTAGCTATTTAAAATCATTATATTTTTATTACTAAATTTAGATTTTTCTGAATTTTTAAATATCTTCTAAATATATTAATTAAGATATCAAGATTATGTTTAATATAATAAAGACTAAACTTTTATTCTAA